TGGGCACACCGATGAGATGAAGCACACAACAGACTTCTATTTTAATATTGCAGGCCACCAAGCCATGCATTATTCAAGGTAAAAATAGTGCCATGTTTATAAGCCTAGAAGTAGGAGGAGAGGCAGCATTAGGACAACGGAAGTATTTACTGTGTTCAAAACGGCAGTGTCTCCCTTTGGAGGGGTACACAAGCCTGCAGTACTCTGAGGAGATAAATTATAGTGATTCACTGTATGAGCTTTACTGGTTCTAAGTATGAAGGATTCCTCTTATAGAATTCTTTTATTAAATACCTACTCTGGCATCAACCCATTTTGACCTGATAGACGTTAACCAATCTTTGTGCTTACATAGTGGGTTAAGAATAAAGATTGGAATAAAATATCTTAGATTAGCATTTGTCTCTTTTATGCTACTGACCAACAGTGAAACAAAAATTAGTGTCTCTTTATAAAATCTTACTCGGATAAACATATGTGAAAATCTAGACATAAAACTACATTGGATGTGATCGTTTACTCTATTATTTATTAATATATTTATGTATTTGTTTATTTAATTATTATGCCAGCCTATGTGCCATAATAAAAATTCAAACACAGAAGAGGATGCTAAATGAAAAGTAAGATTCAGTACACTTTCCTTCATTCCTGCTTATCAGAGTAGTTGTTTTTAACCATTTTATGGTTAGTTTTTCTGGAGGTTAAATCCACGCCTTAAATAATCTGCATATACTTTATTTGTTAATATGCCAATTTAAAAATAGCTATTGATTCTCCTCTATGACGTTAGAGAAATTTTGCTCACTTATGCTTGTCTTTTCTCCCCACCCAATCCCTACCAGGCTCATTTAAAAAAAATTATTTTTCTGTTTAACTTCATAAAAATTCTATTTCTCGATCCATGAATTTTTGACAATGCCTCTTGATTTCCTACTATGTAAGACGAGAGATTTATTGCCCCTATGTTTTCCTCCACACCTACTTCCACCTATTAACTCCTGTTTTTCATTACTTTTACATTTTCAAGGTTTATAGAATTTACATTTAATTTAGCAAATATAACTGTCTTTCATACTTTGGTGATTTAAAATTTAAAACCAATATCCAATATTTAAAATATTATATAAATATTATTTATTATAGAACCTGCAGTGTTTGTACCATAGATAAAGGAATGCATTCTCATATTCTTAAAAATTGTGTTGCTTTGAATGAGAGATATAATCAATACAAACAGCGTTGTGAGGGGTAGGAGAGAGAGAGAATGCAACTTCATCACAGTCTTAGGGAATTAATATTCTCCTTGGACACACCTTTCTTTTAAATTTGTGCTGTGTTGGCCTTGCAGGTGGCTTGGATGCAGGGCATGAGGAATAGAGGAGTTAAGCATGATCCTTGATTTTTTGAGCAACTGGATTAATGGTGTTGCTGGTTACTGAGATGGGGAAGACTAGGAGATGAATGATTTGGAGTTGGGATGGAGATAAAAATTCTGTTTTAGACATATTACATTTGAAATGTATGTTAGATTTCAGAAAGGAAATCAATTTGATGTGTGGAGTTTTGAGAAGAGGTTGGAAAGGGAGAGATAAAGTTGGGGTTATCAAGATATACATGACATCCAAAGTGATGAACCATTACCGGCTTCTATACCTATGAGAGTGTTGGTGCAGGCTGTGTGCGTGGGGGCAGATCATTTTTTCTGAGTAGAACAGAGGCAGACAGTCAGCCTGGGCACTTCTGCCACCTGACCTCGAATGAAAAGACTAGGAGGACCTGTGTGGGGCTCACCTCTCACTCTGAAAGCCTTTGCTCCCCAAGTAGATGTTTTAATTTTTAAAGGAGGCTTTTCTTAAGCTTCGTATATAGTGTGATAGCTGAATGTGGGATGAGTATGAATCATAGTTCATGTAGGCATAGTTCATGTGTACTCATAGTTCATTCATAGTACGTGCAAGAAAGGTTACATTTTTAGATTTTCTTAAGCAACTTAGTTTTACATCTAAGCATCTATCCTACTGAATTCTCAGATAATTCAACCTGCTATTATCCTCCCCAGGTGTAAAAATATATACGTATATAATATAAAATACAGAATATATAAGTAGTATATACTACGTAATAAATATATATATTTACATCTGAGGTATAATATTTAATACACACAGACACACATACCTATATACATATATAAATGGGATGAAGTCTCAGACTCATCACAGTTTTGGACTTAATAGTATTCTTTGTTCCTCTATGTATGTATCTCTATAACAGAGATAACTGGGAACTTGGTAATAAATAAAAATTGTTTATGGTGGACCTGGTGCCATATCTTTGCTTTTAATGAGTGCCATCAACCTCCAGTATTTCTCACATTTCACAGTCTCACAGTCACCTACTTGAAAATCCATTGAGTGGTGTGATTTTTAAAAATAAAAATCCATTGGGTGTTATGATTTTTTTAAAATACCGATTCATAGACCCCACCAAGTCCTGGGAATCCTTTTTTTTTTTTTCCCAGCCTCTCTATATGATTCTCATGAACATAAAAGTTTGAGAACTTCTGTGATTATTCCAATAAAGACAGTAGTTTAGAATTAAAAAAAGGAAGATTTTTATGTACCTTCAATCATGTCAGTCTAACTCCCCTTATAAATTCCAACCACAATTCACCCTCACTTGAAACCAGACAAGATAAAAATGTGAATTCAGTTTATAAGAAAAGAATTGAAAAGACATTCATATATTTCATTATTGAATTGAAAACATCTAATTGCTCTCTGCTTGCTCTAGTCATCTGACTATGTATAATGCTAACTTACATTGTGAATTTATCTTAGCTGCTGAAATAGATACACACAATAGGATATATGTTTGAGCATATGTAATGATAGAGATACTCAAACTCTCCCAATAATTTGTAATCACAAACTATGGGAATGGAATTATGCCTGGACTTTTTTTTTATGGTTGTGATAAATCTTATCAGAATTGATTGTCAGTATCCTTCATAATGATAAGACTTTCAAGAATGCAAATATCTAACAATTAAATTTTATATAATGTGGCAAGTTCATTCATTCAGTATGAATTGGGTGGATTACTCTGCAGAGGCCCTGTGTTCAGTGCTGGACAATCAAAGATGGAGAGACAATGATCCTGCTCTCAGGAACTCGTGTTCTAGTGGAAGCACGTAAACGGCTGCGATGTAGTGAGATAATTGCTATAATGAAGTTGTAAATGCAGTGTAATGAGGGACAGGAGGAGACATTTTTAGTTCAAGGAAATCTTTATGAGGACAACTTGAACAGAAATGTGAAGGATTTTTTTTTTTCCAGGAAGACATTTGGGAGAGGGAATTCAAGGTATGGAGAATACAAGTACAAATGTATGGAGGTGTGATAGCAATATTAAGCTGACCAAATAATTTGGTCCAATCAGGATAATTTTGAGAGTAAATGGAGGTCCTTTTAATAATTAGCCTGCACAACAGGTATAAAATAGGACTGTTCAGGGCACACTAGAACATAGGGCAACATAGAGAACATGTCAGGTAGAAGAGAACATTCTGGTACCCCTCAATATTCAGACCAAGAGAGATAAGCTGATAAATACTCTACCCCAATAGAGGGACTAAGGATATCCTTTTATAGAAATTCACACCCATTACATGGTGTGACCGTGTTTAGGGGGTTTATGTGGTACATTTTAGTTTTAAATTTTAGCTAAGATATGCATACATATGTTTAATGAGTCTAGTAGATCTACAAGTTTTATTATGAAAAGAAGTATGCCTGCTCCCTCTACCCCCACATTTCCCCCAATTTGGTCTTTCCACAGGCAACCACTTTCACACCTTTAAGCTGATTATTTGCTAATTCCCTTCAGGTAAATGATAAATAATATGATTATATTGCTACTTCTTGGTTTTAGTTTTAGGTATTATCTATTGATTTCACACCAAGAAATATGAAGACTTAGCTCTTTTTTCTTCCCCTCCCCCAACAAATCTCAGTGACATCTCTTCTATTGTTCAATCCTCCCAATATAGTTATACTATAATTTTGATAAGGTCAGTATTCCACATGTTTCTTCATATGCCTGTGTAAATGCTATTTCACACCCCTAACTGTTCACAAATATCTAAATCTCCTTTGAAGAGTGTGTGGCTTTCAGGGTTGCTCTTAAGAAGCCAAAGCTAATATGGCTCCCGATCCTCGACGTTTGAGTCGGTTTTTCCCCGACTCTGAAGAAGACTGTAGAATCTTTTTGTTTCCAATATTATGAAGTTTCATAATGGTATGTCTTGACGTGGGTCTATTTTTATCCGTTTTGCTAAGCTCTCAGTAAGCAGACTTTTTAATTGTGCAAACTCAGGTACTTCTTTCCAAGTAAATTTCTTGAATTATTCCTCTGATGATTTCTTCTTTTTCTTTCTGGAACTCCTATTATTCAGATATTGGAACCCTGGCCTGAGTCTTTTATATTTTGC